TAATCTGTGTTGAAATCAGGGAACAATACCAACCTTCCACCTATCCGAGACTAATCGCCCACTCTTTCCCTTTAAAATCTGACTGTAGTCATTTTCACTTCTTCCAGTCTCCTCCACCTCTTCGGTACTGGCTCCTTCTTATCTGCATTTAAACTCGTTTGAAACTCTCCCATTTTAAAACAAACAAAACAAAAACCCTCACTGTGTCCTATGTTGCTCTCCAAACTACAACTTTTCCCTTTCATTGCCATATTTCTTACATCCTAAATAGCTTGTCAGATAATTCAATACAGTTCACTTCCTCTACTCTTTATATGTTACCTCTATGCATCTCAAGCTTAGTGAGAAATATAGTATTTCTCAACCTGTTGGTGAGAGGCTAAATTTCCTGGGTTTCCTGTGTTAACTCTTGTTTGGATCAGGACCGGCTTACAGTAAGTCTGGAATTGATATTAATAATAAGACAAGAGAATGAAAAGTTAAGCTGAGTCTACTCAAATGCAACTGACATGTGTTCCTGAAAAAGTAAAATTTCATTTCAGATACAGCAGAAGCAATGACTGAGACTGTGAAACACGCAGGGAGAGTCCTTAAAAGTGGCAGGGTACCTAAAAAGTGAGCAGTCCGGGTGACAGAAATGCAAAGAATAGATGATTTAAAAAGGAAACTTGGAGAAAAAGAAAGGGATATCCCAGAAAAGAGAATGAGCAACTGGAACCTGCCAGAGCATCTAGAAGACGAGAGATACACAAGAATTTATCAGCATTGCAAAGGGAAACTTCACCCAAATAAAGTGAGATACAGTGGTAAGGGAAGGGGTGGGTAAGCTAGCTTCCAGGAACCCTCAACTTCCACAACGCCAAATAACTACAAAAGCCACAAAACGGAGGTACCTGGCGCAACACCTCGGCCCTGGCAAGCCGGGTCTGTTCTTTACGCTCTTCAATACTCTTCGCACTTTCAAAAAGACCACTGGCAGCCGCCATAGTTGTTGCCACCGTAAAGCTAGGAAGCCGTCATGAACTCTTAGTTTACGACAGTCGTAATTTAATAAACAAACCGGGACTTCCGACCAGGGAGAGGAGGAGCTCTGCGCCACCTACAGAGCATGCGCAGACCTGAGTGTCACTTAAGGTGCCAGTGGTTACTCCAGTTCCAGCTTTTCGGCGAGACTTGGACACCGGCGAAAGGTTTATTCTGTTTCGCGTACTGGGTTCACTGTGAGTGGGAGTAATATCAATTTACGTATGTTATGCGCTTTGCACTATACTAACAACTTTCTCATAAATTTAACCTAAGTCAGAAGCTCCTAGAAGTTAAGTCCATACATGCGCCAATGTTCCCTTTCTTACCAGAGCATCGCTTCCCTGTACTGAACGAATGGGCTGAAGCTGGCCAGAAGGTCCAAGTTGCATTGAAGATTAAGTGTTTCACTTAAGTGGATTTTTTTTTTTAATATATGAAATAGTCATGTGAATTTTGCCTTGTACTTCATGATTTATCCGTGCTTATTTTAATTGTTAGAAGTTTACATTATTTTTTCTCTAACCTCATATTATTTGCTTATACTTATCCATCCTAACATTTTTTATTGCAGTGGGCTATTACCTATTTATTTGAGTGAGGCTTTCTTTGTTTTCTTTTATGTATGTATCTCCCAAACATAAAACTTTAAGTGCCATGAAGAATAAGACATTCTAAAGTATTTATCAAGTGCTTTGAGAATATAAAACACTAAACTTAATATTTATAATCATAAAGGTAAAGAAGAAGTCTGGAGAATAACTATAAACTAGATACTTTAAAGACACTAAAAATAATTAATGTAAGCCAGGTTGAGGTAAATATTCTTTCTTTTCAGCTGTCATAAAATTAAATGTATGTTTGTTAGAAGCTTTCCCAGGAGTTGTACTTTAACTATCATTCTATAAAAGTCTTAATCTTGAGCACATGTTTACTTGTTTGCTATAGAATAGAATGTACTCATTGTATTTTTGTTGTAGAAAATTGAATTTTCTTTTACTAATTGACCTTGTAATCGTTAACCAACTGACTACCCTGACTGATTTTGTCATAATAAACCAACATTAAAGTCTTTTCAGATTCCCTTGGGATTCAGAAAAACATCCATTCCTCCCTTTTTACATCAATTACAGGACAAAAAAATATAAACAGTGATTATAGCAGAAACCTGTGTTTTAATCCATTCAGGCAGCTGTAACAAAACTATCATGGGATTGGTTGGCTTATAAACAACAAACATTTATTTCTCACAATTCTGAGACTAGGAAGTCCAAGATCAAGATGCGGACAGATTTGCTGTCTGGTGACAGTAGGTCCTGGTGCATAGATGGCAAGTCTTTTGCTCTGTCCCATGTGGCAGAAGGGGCAAGGGATCTCTCTAGGACCTCTTTTATAGGGGCACTAATGCCATTCAAGAAGATGCTGCCCTCATGACCTAATCACCTCCCAAAGGCCCTGCCTCCACTTACCTTCACATTGGGGAATGGGTTTCAACATAAGAATTTGGGGGGAACACAAACATTCAGTCTGTAGCAATGTATAAAGTTATATGAAAAAAGGTTTAAAAATCTTACATAAGGCTCAAAAGAAGACTAGAACAAATGGAAAAGTATACCGTGTCCTTAAAGAAGATTCAAAATCATAAACAGTCAACTTTCTTTAATCAATTTGTAAATACAATGCAATACAAATAAAATTACCAACAAAAAAATGTTTGGGTCAGAGAGGAGAACTACACATGTTGAAAGAGAAGGAAAAAAAAGGTTGTTTTGGCTAGATTTGCATTTGGCCACACCTAATAAATACCCAATCACATTTTTTAATCAAATAAGAGGTGATGTATTAAGGAGCCTAAAGGTCGCTGGTCCAGGATTGGTGCAGTTGCTGAAGGAGCTGGGCTGTTTCTCCTTTTCTGCTTTGTTGCAGTCTTTAGTCTTCATAGTCACAAGCAAAGTATCACATTCTTCTACGTCTGTTCATGGCATCTATTAGACCCAAGCATAAAGGGAAACAACAAAGGGTAAAAGATGTGTGCCAGCTAAGCTGACCCCATTTTCTATTAGAAAAACGATGGCTTTTCCTAAAGCCTAGTCCAGTTTTTTCCCTGTAAATCTTATGCTTAACTTATCTGTATAATGAAGTCACATTTTGCAGAGGTTAAATTCTCTCATCAATGTGTAAGACAAATTTCAAGCCTAGTCGAGATTACCTATGAAAATCCCTGAAATTGCCATAAAACACAGGTACGTGGTCTGGAAAAAACAACCATGTACCATATTATATGTTTACCAATATGTAATGTGTACAGTAATATGCAGCATCACCAGTAGCCTGCATGTCTTTGAGGTTGAAACATATCTTGTAAATAAGATGATCACATGTCCCAGTTTACCTGGGACAATCTAATTTACATCTCTTGTCCTGATGGACTTGTCAGTAGCTCCCCTTTTTACTTTTGAAAGTATCCCAGTTTGGATGATAAATCATACAGCCACTGTTATGAAGCCGATCTTAATTCTTTTCAACGTAAGGCTGCCTATCTTTAGGTGAAGGTAGAGTTCAAGGTAAAGCCAAGAGCCTTTTCTCACAATGTGCTGAAGTCATTAACACACATCTAAAAATCCCTGTCTTCTAGCCACTAGAGTAATACTTTGAAAGGTATTAATGAGGTGTTAAATGCACAGGTTCTAAAGCCAGACTTCCTGGGTTAAATTCTAACTCTGCCACTTACTAGCTGCATCAGTTTATCATGCTCTGGTTCCCTGCCTATAAAATGGGAATAGTGACAGTATAAACCTCATAGAACTTCTGTGAAAATTAAATCAGTTAAAACATGTTAGACCATTGGCTCAAAATTCTAAGTGTTCAGTGTATGTCAGCAACAATTATTTTCAGACTTCGATAAGGATTTATCTTCTTGTCAATTACCTGATGCCACACTAACCCATTTTTTTCCTCTAATCTTTATGACATGGACACTTTCTAGATTCATTGCACTCGTCTTTACAAGTTATGTAGGAAAGAAACTAAGAAACCATTTCCCCATAAGTCCTCCAGGCCAGTGCTTTTCCAGAACTGGAACAGATCACTGTTTCTCTGGATGAGCACTAGACAAGGTAGCTAGTTTGTATTTAGAGGTCATGTTGTCCAAAAATCACCTTTACCTCATCTGGCCCACATTAGTAAAGTGTTAATGTGTTTAATTTAATTTGAAGTGTAATTGATTTTTACAGTTAGAGATGTCACAATGATAAACACTTTTATTACCATTATCTTTGTAGAATCACTTTGAAAATATTTCTTCTCCTTCTGTGAACACTAGAGGTCAGCCACTCAGCAAGTTCAGCTGCATCCAATATTTAAATGAAAACCTAAACTAGCAAGATCCTGGGAGTACTTCATATACTGGGGAATTAAGTGACTACTCTTTGACCCAGCATCTGGTGTTCTGGTGGTGGATCTAGCTCAATGGACACTTTGCTTTCACATTCCCACTCCCTCCATGTGGTCCATGTGCTGATAAGTCCTCCCCAGTTTCTGGTTTTCCCTCCATTGAGGTAAAACTGGCTGGAGTCCAGAACTGGAACCTGTCCTGAGCCTCAGTTCAGTTGGAGGACAACTCTGGGATCTCCCTTTCCTCTTTACGGGGGCTGGCCCCTGCTTTTGTTATCTCTCACACTATCTTGAATGGATCTCTCAACCTATACATTTCTGATTCTGATCCCTACCAGGTTACTAAGAATGCCTGTTGGCCTGACCCTTTGGATATTGACCCTTCCCTAATCAGAACAGAATTGGTTTAATTTCCTTGATCTTGGTGACTTAAGAGTGTTGTTTCTCCATGGATGTGATATTGACTTGTTCTCGCCACTCAATAGAAACACTGGTCTGCTGTGTGGCTTTGGGTCAAGACAATTGATCCCACCCGTCCCAGTGGTTTGAAACTCCCATTGTTTTTCCAGGTGAGGCTTTCACTGGTCTGGGACCTACATTGGCTGAATTTATAGTTGGCAGATTTTTGGTCCTCTAAGCAAGGAAGACAGGGAATGACAAACTATGAATTTCTATTTTCACACACATTAAGTTCATTGTGTTTTAAGTACCAATCAACTCTTAATTATCCACAGTAATGGAAGGAGGTAATGACATATTTCTATACAACATTGTCCTCACTCACATATGCTTCAGAGCATAATCATTTTCCCAAGCAGCAGATTTACTTTGATAGTTATGCTGTGCTCGTAATTTTATTAATATGAATCTGCTTTCCCTGAGCACTGTGCCTTATGATTCTAGGAGGAGACATCACACAGGCCTGTTTGGTAGCAAGGTCCAGTCTGTCTTGGATTAGGTATTTAGATTAGATATTGCCTATAGGAAAATTCCATGCACCTGCTGAAGAGATGTGACTGCTTTAGAAAGTATGTTACAAGATCGTATAGTGGGAATTAGGGGTGGAAGTGTGGTATATTTGGAGTGAGGTATTGAACATGTGGATAGTTAGGCTCACCAAACACTATCAGGATAACAATAGGCAGAAATGGAAAAAGTGAGAGAATATATTTATTCAATGACAACTTGTTGCAGTGTTCACATGTTTAGGGACCATAGTTGTTTATCTCATAGTGAAAATCATTTTATACTAAGAAGTTAAAAAGAGAAAAGGGAAATAGAAGAGGACAGTAAGCAGGGGGAAGGGAAATGGGGGAAAGCTCACATTTACTGAGTATGTCATCCACTGCAAGAACTGTGCTGAGCACTTTTTGTGCATTAGGTCTTTTACTTCTTGGCAACAACCCTATATATCATTATCTTCATTTTACAGATGGGCAAGAGAAGTTCAAAGAGGTTAAGTTATATAAGAATCCAAGATAATCAGATTTCAACATCAATATTATTACCCACTCTTTATTTTGTACTGCCTTTCACAGTAGAAAAGGCAGTGGTATTAAGTATAACTTGAATAAAACAAGATCCA